ATACCGAGGGTGACATTTAAAAATCAAAAGTTGTAGTCATTTCCGGTGAAACAGGAAGTGACCGAAAACAATTGAATGCGTCAATCAATCCCAATTTATGTCATATACTAACATACCAAATCTCGTGTTTTTATCTGAAAAAATAAAAAAGTTATAGGGGGTGAGCCACTTTTGAGACGCACCCGGTATATCTTCAAACCATTTCCACCATATTTATTCCTTCAACATTCCCTTTCGTTATAAAAAATATCTCGTGATATCTTTGTTTTCGTAAATGGAATAATGACATGAATGCATTGTCCTTCATCTTTAACATTTTACAGCTGCAGATTTGTCAACTCGATACGCCGGCAGGCCCCCGTAAGTCCCACTATCAATGAAACTTTTGTCAGGAAATAAGTTTTATCATCGGCTTCCAACAAAAAACGAGTTATGTCTTCTTTTCTTAAAATTCTCGATTTTTTTGACCGAAGTCCTTCCGATTTTCTTTTTAGAAATGCAATTAAATGAACGTACTTACTAATATCTGTATTTTTCTTCACTGATATACGTAGCATGGAATAATATACTATATAATATACCCAAAGTGATGAAGCCTTCCTATGTTTTGAAAGATGTTCAAAATATGCCAGGAGAACCTTTTCGTTACTACTATTCTTGATTCCTTTCCCTTTACACCAATCTTCAAGGTTTACATAGGCTTGCTCGTACGTTTGTCTTGATTTTTCGGGAAGTAGGAAATCGACAACGTTTTGCGCAATGCCTTCAATATCCGAAGGGACACTTTCACAATCACCCATATTAATATTATTTTTTGCTTTTTGCTAAAACTGAACGTTTAACACAAAATTGAACATCAATAATTGAGTTGTCAAACTCAAAATGGAAACCATCAACAAGCACGGTTACCACGGCATCGACTAATATGGGCACCTGATAATTTTGAATTTTAATTTTTATGAGGATATCTCTGATATTTTAAATTAAATCAAATCTCTTTGGATCGTCCCTCGTGTCGTGTCGTAGATTAAATTTTGAATGATACACGTTCGATACGAAGTTTTTAATGAAACTTGTGTAAATGTGCGTTTCATTATGATGTTCGTATCGAACTTGTATCATTAATAACTATAAATATGTTTTTTCTTTGTTCTTTGTGTTTTTTTGCTTGTGACGACGGGAAGAGACATACTTCCCAAGACGTTAAGCATTTTTTTGTTCGTTAGGAAAATTTGTTTATTAGGTTTATAGGCAGTGTTTACAAAAATAACTATTTTATTTTGTACGTTTTCTTACAGTGGGGTGTGGGGAAATACCCATAGGACTTTTTTGAAGAGATGAATCTGCCACAGAGGTGAAGACATTTTTTAATACAAATAAAATAAAATAATAATATATGGGTTGTTCCGTAATACACAGGGTATTCCATTTAAAAAAAAAATATGTGTAAAAAAACTTATAAGTTTGGGCCATACTTCAAGAATGACAGCTCCCAGCGCGAATCCAGTTACGCCACTGAGTTCTATGTGAAAACTCTATGAAAATCAGTTTTCACCTTTTCGATAAGTTATAAGATAACCGCGATACGAAGGCGGATTAAGATACAATATTTTCAAATTCGCTCTGTATTTCAGAAACCAAGGTGGCCAGGACAAATCTGTATGAATCATCTTTAATTTCATAAAAAAGTAGTATAATGATGTGAAAACCGCATCTTTGTATCTCTGCTCATAAACGAGAAACGCTTACTTAAATTTTGATTTTTTTCTGAATTTGTTAAAAATACATAAACTGAAATTCAAAAAATTATGTGTTGATATTGAATAATAAGGGTAGTTCTTGAGGTGATTAGGGATGAGAAAAGCGAAGAAGTGCATTTGAAACTTCTAATATGAGATTCTGACTTTTCTGAAAAGTGTAAACTTTTAGGATGCTGTCAGTAATCACCACACAGGCTAATAAAACTACTTTTTCAAATTTGTCAAGCTTTCGAGTCATTAGCAAATAAAACATCCTTACATCCTCTGCACAAAAAGGCTTTAAAGCATTATATGACATTGGAATACAAGGACATTTCCTTTTTTTTAAATTTCTATCTTGTTGTTTCAAGCTTCGAGACAACAATGTAGAAATTAGTTTAGTAAATTTTATTTTTTTTTGTTTTGTGTTTAAAGAAAAGTAATGTCATTGGATATGTATTTTAATATTTTATAAAGGAAATGTCCTTGTATTCCAATGCCATCTGATGCTAGTTTTAAGGCCTTTTTGTGCAGAGGATGTTTTTTTTGCTAATTGACTCAGTCGAATTGTCCTGATGATGGGAATAAAATTCTCGAAAGCAATAACTAATTTGAAAATAGTATATTAAACAACGAGTTTCGAAAACGACGTTTTGCACACGAGTTCGACAGTTTGTTGGCTCGGGCCGCAGGCAAGAGCCACAAGTCGAACGAGTGTACAAAGAAGTTTTCGAACGAGTTTTTTACGTTATTTTTTCTACTACAAATTAGCAGCAGACTCACTCAGTTTTTGTCAGTTTTGTGGAATAATTTGCGATGTAATGATGACACTTTTCTGACGGCTGCGTTGTGTTTGGCGTTTCAGCTTAACTATGGTTAGCGAAACGCGCGTCCAGTGTAAAAGTAAAAGTGTTTTGGTGTATTGTGGTGAAAATGTATTTGACAACTAATTTTTATTACCAATGAATTTTTTGTATATTCCTCGAATTAGAATTCGAATTCCGCGAAATACCATTAAACTACTTCAAATACAGTAACTCATAGCAGGTGATATAAAATAATAAAGTGTATAGGTAAACAGGTTGTACCAATAAACAACATCTGTACGTTTTGTGGTTATGAGGTTTTTAGGTAATAAACTACATTTAATAATGGCTACAATATATCTGCGTTAATATTACAAACGATTCTTAATAAGACCTACTTATTATGACATTAATGAAGTATTAATTATAAGAAAATATACACTGCTTTAAACTACAAAATGTATCGTAATTGCTACATGGCAATGAAAAACTATATGCGATCGAGTACTAAAAACGAACAGTAAAAGAACAGGAAATCATTTAGAATAGACTTCAGTTCTATACATTAAAATAAACTATACGCCAGATAACAAAACACATGAGATATTAACAGGATGTAATGTCTGTATGGAGCAAGTCAACTATAGTTTATTGAGATTGAATATTTATTTTCTTAAATTCCGGTTTAAAAATATTAAAAATTGGCCATCATTTGTTTAGATTATAGCCATTAAAGTAACTAAAGACTGTCGAACAAGAGGATACCTTACAGTGACAGATTATAATATACAGGTAAATTCTATTTTCTCTTCGAGCCCCATCTTTTCAAGTTTTTTGACGAGTCCTCAGTCGGACAGACGGGTAGACGGACAGACAGACAGACGAAAGTCAGAAGAAATTTCACTTCAAAGATGGACACATATTGCACACACTATTTTTTTAAAATTTAATTCCTATTTTTATAATTTTTTTAGCAAACTGTATACAGAGTGCTTCAAAAAACATGTGCCATTTCTCGTCGGGAGTTTCCTCACATAAAAATAAGATTTATTTTTCATATCAACATAGGTCCGATTCTGCCTTGTTTCGTAGCTACAGGGTGTTAAATTCTTAATATATTTTCGATTTATTATAATTTTCTTCCAAGTACTCTTAGTGATTCGAATGAAATTTTTAGGGTAAAAGTAACTATAAATGCGATATATTTTAAATCTAAAAAAGTGTCGACGTATTCACCAGGGACGTGCATATAGGTTATCACTGGAATATTTTTCTAAAAAAAGCATGTACGCCACTGACCCTTTTCTCTTGTTAGCGGAATAGTGTAAGCAGTGTAAAAAATTGTGTAAATGCCGATTAAAAGTTGTCTCTTGATATTTTGTCATTTTTGATGACACAAATGCAATTTTATTAATTTGTCTGATCCAAGTCTAATTACCTTTAAAAAATTTTAATATCATTAACTTGCGAAAGTTTTAAATAAGTACTCATTGGTTCCTCAACAAAAAAATATGAAAAAAGTTCCTATAAACATGGATACGAAAATGCATAGTTTTAGAGTTACAAGATGTTTAAACTTTTTAAAATTAGTTTTTTTTGTAATTATTTGAAATATCATTATTTTTTACTTAAAATTGCTGTAGGATGGACTAATAGTAATAATAACTAATAGTAATGGTATTTAATAATAAATTAGATAAAATATACAGTTGAGTGATACAATACGGGTGAGTTTCGTACGATGTTCTCTATGTGTGTCTCGGAAACTATACTAGATAGAGCATCGATTAAATGGGGAAGGAATTGCAGTTTTGTGGGGTCATAAATATGCGCCTTTCAGATTTTTGAAAAAGTTCATGGCTTACTAGATATTTCGAAAAAAACAAATTTTGGCTATTTAAAAAAAAATTGTCCCTAATTCCATGATCTATTTTAGACAAAAAGTTTTCAGATAAAAGTTGTATACAATAACATCCCTAATGAGTTTGTATTCTCCGATTTTTTCTAAAGCCTGTCATTTTTGACATATTTTAAGAAAGATAAGATTTTTAGATAAGAATTGGCTATATATAACTCAGTAATTTTTTGGAAAAAAAACATATTATAGCTTATGTCGCTGAAAAGCTTAAAAAATGGCGCTTTTTAAGAAGTCATGGCCAACTATGGTTTCAATTTAAAAAAACTTATGTGTCTTTACTCTTTACCTCACTACATATACTAACATACCAAATCTCGTTATTTGATCTGAAAAAAATCAAAAAGTTATAGGGGTGAGCCACTTTTGAGACGCAACCGGTATAGAAGAAATATTTTTTTATAGGAATCTCAATTATTGTTGACGGCGACTATATAGCTTGCAATTAATATAATATATTTGATGGACCTTGCTTGCAATTAATATAATATCTATGAGTCACCATTTAAAAGATTATGAACGTACTACAAACACACTCACCTATATCCATATTCTAAGTTATCTCCGCATCCACCCCAAACCCATTCCTTTCTCAAATCCTTGGGTCGTTCCATTCTAGAACAGCCACAGGAGGAAAGTTGACCGTCTCGACATGCTCTGGATATTGAATGCACTACGCCAGCTGCGGCCAAGGCGTGTGCAAATGCTGTTTCCCGACTGGCTGGAACAAAGGAAATGCTTGTCATATTTTATGGAATTGTGAAATAATCATAATGTCTAATGCGCAATGGAAATGTTTTTTTTTCAAACGTCACAAAAGTATTATTGTAACAAAGAAATTTAGTATTATTCACAATATTTTTTTTCTGTGTACATAACATACGTTAAAAAGTTCAGTTTTCAAAATACTGCGATTATTGACGTTTTATCATTATAAGAAATGGACACCATAACGATATTCTTATAACTCGGTTTCAGATACTCAGAAACATATCTAATAATTTATCTAGGAGTAGTTATCTTTCCGAAAAAAAAAACTTTTAGAAATAAGAACTTTTAGAAACCTGTATCTCCGGTAAATGTGGCAACGCCGCAACAGCACACCGTCACGTTTTGCTAACTCCCACTTAATAAGATCCCTATGCGATTCACTTCCACAGATGTAGGTAAATACCGATCCAATAGCAAGACTTGCCAGCGTGGTATAATCCAATATTAAAATGTTTCTCTGTTTAATACTTTAATTATTGCTACATACAAAGAGAACCTAATATTAAATTAATTTATTTGTTCTGCTGACAATGATCCTTTTAAACCAGCAATTTAAACTTCTCCTTTCTAGTTCGTTATTTATGATTTAATGTGGCTCATAATAATGAAATACGATTATTAGATCCCTTCGTTTGCACACAAGGCTTAACTAGGACTAAGCAGAGTGAAATATGGCCATTTAGGGCTTCTGGTTTTATTCTAGCTCGTTGCGACACGAGTTTAACACGCAAATATATATTCACGATGTTAAAACTTCAGTACTAATAAATACAATTCCCAGGCCACTGGTTTGTTTTGCTTAAGATTAAAATTTGTTCGTATTGAGTTGTAGTTCCTGCAAAACAAACACGATTGTTATTTTTACTTGGTAAATATGTAAATACAAAAGAATAAAAATGCCAAATATATTTGCACAATAATTAATGATTCCGGTTCCTTTGTTTTTTACTAGATGTTTTACTACTTCTCTCAGTAGTAAGTAGTAAGTAGTCCCTTTAAGTAGATTTTTGGATATGTGTTGCAAAAATTGTACAATGGATAATAATTACTTCTTACTGACAGTCTTTCTGCAAAGAGCAAAAAATTCAGAAACACAGAAAGATATCGAAGGGTTAAAGCACAATTCAATATTGCAATATCGGTATTTCATTCAGCGCGACAACAACTTTAATAAGAAGAATTTCAAAAGTCAAACGAGAGGAAAGCTAGAATGCTGTATCTGCTACACTGGAGAAACAAAAATATTAGATAAAAATAAAATTGATGATTTTAAATAACAAGTCTTCCACCGCATCTTGGCATCTAATGTCAGGCCTAGATGTTTGGGTGGTTGTATCTACGGATCAAAATGTATGCCGACTTTTCAATTCAATATTAAACGATAGTTTATAACACATAATTTTATAATACCGGTTTACCGATATCTCCCGGTGTTTCCTTGTCAGAACTAGCAAAAAAAATTGAAATATAAAAGCAATCTCTATCTAAGTTAAAGCGGCATTTTCAAATACTTCCTCTATTTGCTTTTTGCAAAAAATATTGCATTTCTGTTTTCCAGGTTTGGGCAATAACCATGGCTGTTATTTATTTTACAGCTTGTTAAGCTTTGTTAGCTTATGCTTGTTTCTCTGTCGATGTTGATGGAACCGGAGTATTAGCACAATTCAACTTTGACCTTTTTAGAATTAACGTTAAGTTTTAAGTTAGAATTAACAAATTCATCAATAACAGCATTCGTGTTCGAAATTTTCACTTTTAACTTTGAGATGTACTGAATTAGTTATAGTTTTTAAATCTCAATTGAAAATAGGATTGCAATACGATGGTAATTTTGACACTGTTTCTGTCGGCATCGTCTGAACAAATGAATTAAGTCACATTATTTCCAATTGTCTTGGGAAATACTATACACAACTGTCTGTGTTAGCGGATTTGGTTCTATTTATATTCCGTGATTTTTAGAATCGAATCTTTTGCAATCATGATTATGTAAGTATTGAAGGACATCGACACTCGATACTTAAAGTTGTGCCATTATTTGTTATTTTAGCAATCCTACATTTTAAAGCAAAATCGTTATAAAATTGTTTGGATTTTAGCCAGTAATGCTCCACAGCAACTTTATTAAATGCAATGCTGCATTAAAAATTATACCATGTCTTTTTCGATGCAAACTGCATCGAATGGGACATCAATGATATTGATCATATGAATACCTTAAAAATATATTCTTTACGGCATTGTTTGAAAACAGTAATAAAAATTATGAATATTTTAATAGCATTATACAATAAATAATGTAACAGATCTATTGCAATTAGCGATGAGAAAATTTAAGACCGTGACCAAAAAAGGCTCTGCATTTTCTAATCAATTTGTACCAGAGACACTTTCCACATAGAAAATCTCTAAATAAATATTATTTTTGGAAATTTAATGCAACTAAAGCTTCAAAGACAGAAATTACTAGAATATTTGTCTGACAAAAAAATGTATTTGTCAATATATTATATTAAATGAGTTTTTTTTTTAATTTTAAGCAATAGGTAGTTGAGAAAAAAACTATTTGTAATAAACTAAAACAATAATTTTGAAAAAAATAAGTAATTTCTTAGATCATATAAATGCGAGTCAGGGGCGTAGATAGGTGTATGCTATGGGGGTGGTACTATGATTAAGTCGCAAAAAAAATCACCGTCGGAATTTTTTTGTCGAATTAAAACGACGGCGATTCTTTTGTCTTCAAAAAGATATAAAAACATAACACAAAAATTAAAATATAGATTTGTAAATAACATAAACAAAAATGAAACAACGACGTTTATTAGTTAATTTTCTATAAACTATAAAAAAAACTCTAAACTATCAAAAAAAAAAATATAAAAACTATAAACTATAAATAAAACTACAAAACAAAATCATGTTTTCTAGTACGCTGTTTCGAAAACCTATCAATAACAGCATCAACATTTATTTCAATATCTTTATGGATATTGATTAGAGTTAACCCCACTAATCTGTCCTGGCCAATAAGAACACTTTGTGTGCTTTTAATTAGGTCGAACATATTATAAACGATAAATCAACATAATTAAAAGCATACAAAGTGTTCTTATGTCGGATTTTAATTAAAAAAAATCCTTTCATAGTCAATGACTATTTCAATTCTCGTATCTCGTCAAGCGTCAGGGGGGGGGGGTACTGTCCCCCAGTACCCCCCCCTTATCTACGCCCTTGATGCGAGTTAAAACGTCAAAAAAGTGCAAGATCGCTAGACCGCAAGAGTCTTGCATGCTTGTTCTTGGTCTTGCACTGGTCGGTCTTGGTCTTGGTTTGGGGATCAAATGCTATTCTTTAATAATAAATAAATGCTTATTCTGCACAAAAAACCAAGACCAAGACCAGTCTCGCTCATCAGTAATAGCAATCGTAGTAAAAGTTTAAAATAAAGGTTTCGAATAGTTTCTGAGGTCTAGAAAATTTGGCTTCTGGCTTCTACACTAGTGTATAGTAATTTTTTAACGACTAACGAATTGAAGACGATTTACCGTCCTCAAATAAAGTAAGCCGATAAATCGGTAAGCAGGTAATGCAATCCCTAGTTGTAGGTATCAGTATAAAGTATAATGTAATCTGATTACTGAGATACTATACACTAATGTATATTGTTGAAAGAAGAAATAACCGTCACCGGGGCAAGGGGTTATTTACCGTCAAGTCGAAACACTGTGGAATATAATTTTATTCGATCAGAATTACTTTACCAAGATTTGACGTTTATTGATCATCTGAATCGAAAATAAAACGAGTTTGGTTGGCATTCCAAAATATATGTAAGAACTTTTTGGGTCACCACAAAAGTGTGTCGCTCATCTATGTTGCTCAGGTCGAGGCATTGCTTAGCGTACAAGGCCATGGAATATCACAAGTCTTAAGAGAGTGAAGTGAAGGTGCGAGTGAAGGAAATGCACTTTAAGCCTTTCCTTCACTCGTACTGCCTTTCTTTCACTCGTACCTACACTTCTTCCTTGAAAATTTATGGGTAATCTCGGATGAACAGGAGGAACGGTTCTATCAGGACATCGTTAAGCTCGAGAAGATATTTTCAAGTATAATGCAAGCATGTTAGTGGAGTACTGCAGGTTTTTGGGACGAGGGTGTTATACCTTAGGGTATAAATGACAAAGCAAGCACTAAATAAAGGTAGATATCTTTTTATTTGTTATTATTTACTCCTAAATAATTATTTTTATCTCTTTTTTTATCCATAAAATTATTATTATTATCGAAAAGTGATAAAAATATGATATATATAAAGAGGGCTTTGACCCAAAAATGGTGAGTTGTCGAAGAAAATGGGAGCTATATTTGAATTCATCAGTACTTCATTTATAATAATCAGCAAAAATGGTACCAGAGCTCGAAAAAAATATATTTTTTTGTAGACCAGTGTTATTACCACTAGATAAAACGACCAGCGAGCAGCGACGACAAGAAAGACAATGTCAAACCACCTTGGGCATATACATACATAATATATTATACATGGCTATACTTCAATCTCTCAACTCTCAAATGCTACCGCTTTTGTATCGTGCTTTGAACTGTAAGAAGATTGATTGACAGGAATAAATGGCAAGATAATATATTATTATTTATGGAGGCATAGGAAATAACGATCGAATTTCACAAGACCAACTCAATTCTAAAAGAAACCACCAAGCAACTTGACGATTGTCTTACGCTCCATTTGCGGCCGACACCCATGGAATGAGCGACGCTAACTGCGGTAACCAAGGGCAGAAAGAGCGGCCCTGTGACGACATCAAAGGCCGCCACGACCGAAGCGAAATAATCGCATCAGCGAGGCACGTAGCGCTTTCTGTCTGTCTGCCACGGTCTGGTTTCGTCTCTAAAAAACCGCCATTACGCAAATAGATCGGGTTTTCA